TTTTGTAGCTCAATTTCAGCATAATGAAGTGCAAGTTTTAAGTGGCTATATTCTATTGTTGATTTTTGAGATTTTGTTTTGCTGATTTGTTTAAAAGTTGAAAAACTTGGTCAAAATTTGTCGAATGTTTCTAAATTTTGTAAAAACTTTGAATTATTAATTTATATGCCATTTGATGCAGAATGAACTATATTTCTATTAAAAGTTATCGAAAAAAATATTACGAAAAACATTGCACATATTTAGAAAAAAAAACACTGTACGGATACATATTCTGGTGAGTGTATGTGTATGTGTATGTGTCCTTGTATGGATATTAGTATGCAATGTTCTACTTACCTCAAAATACTTGCAACGCTCCTGGTATCTTTTTATTTTTGCCCGACGATGACAAACAATGAATGTCGCTAATGACAGGATGACAGCACAGAAGATTGGCGTTAGCACAGCGAGAATTAACTTCACAATAGATTGGCTCTTGTCTTTCGTTGTACAAACAAAAGAGACAATGTGCAACACGTAGCATGAAAAAAGAAAAACAATTAAAAATCTATGAATGTGACAAATGTTAAACGAAATTAAAACCGAAAAAATTACAGTAGAAAACGAAACGAAAGAAATAAGCTAATAAGCAGCAAACGAAAACACAATGTTGAGAGAATAGTTCTTAACATACGTCATTTTTTTTTTTTTGGAAATTCAATAAGCATACCGTCTCTATATATATTCTTATTTGTATGCAAATTTTTAAAAATATATGCATACATATTTTTTCTAATATTTTTTCCTCCTATATTTCTTAAAAATATGGTTCATTCTACAACAAAAAACAGACAAATATAATTCCTAAACTTTGTGCAAAACCCTCGAAAATTCAGCAAATTTTCAACTTTTTAATCAGATTTTTCAGAATTTGATAGCAAAAACAATAAAAAAATGTTGTCTTTTTGATAAATTAACTTGGACGTTTAGTTGGCTCTTTGTATTTTTTAGTTAGACTTATAGGCCTTTTCTGCTTGTTGCCGAACATTTTGAATTCTAAGTAGCTTGGTAACAATTTAATCTATTCAGCAATGAAGTTTTGTATAAATTCTGGTGCTGCATACTTTACCGGGCAATATTTTGTTACCTGCTTATGAGATGGTAACAAAATTTACCAGTGCACAGAATGTCAAAAGTGTTGGAAAATTACCAGGAACTTTATTTACCGGTAACAAAAGTTTTGTTACCAAGGCAGAATAGGCCTGTTAGTGGAAAAAATTCTTTTAGTGTGAAATTGAAGAGGATTCGAGAATTCGACTCAAACTCATCTTATTTATAAGCTGAATTGTGCAGGAATATCTTTGTAATGACACTTTGAAATTAATAAATGCTGTGGACATTAATGTTGTCTTCTTCAGACTACATTCTTATACGGGTCGTTCTGTTAAAAACCGTAAGGATTTCACAAAAAAAAACTTTTTTTTAAATAAATAATAAATTTTTAGAAATTTCTTAGGAAATTTAGTCGAGACCTGTATCACGAGTTCATTACACAAATTTTATTTTCAGAGATGTGACGGTTTAAAGTTTGGATTATTTACCGAAACTTGCCATATTCAAAATTCAATATCTTTGGTTCTAGTAATCGTGTCGTACCCATTTTGTAATTTAATAACTTTTGAACCATAATAGGCTTCATCTTAAAAAAATTCAGTTTTTTAGATAAAAGTGTGGCGGATATTAATATTTTTTCGATTATGTTCATCGTGAAGTGACTATGTAATAATTATTTTAAGTTTAAAATTTTTTCTATATCGTCGTCTCAGAAAACGGATGTCGAATGTTACAAATCACGGTTTTGAGAAAATCGACTTTAAACTTTAAACTCAAATTATTTCGAAGGTACACGGTAGATTATTGTAATTTTTGGATCAGGCCTAATTCATATTATGGTTTTTAACATTGAATGTTTTCGAATTTAATATTTTCAAAACTTATTGAGAAAATGGACCTTCAATTCTGCATACATTTGTCGTATGTTACGATTGCTCACAATTCTGTTTTGTCCATAGGACATACGACAAATGCCAAAACATTTGTTATATTCACAACGTGTCACAAAGGATAAATAAATGTTTAGAGGACTTGAAACCACAACCAACTGTTTTTTAACGGTTCGAAAATTCATAAAATGGCTTTTATAGTACCTTAAGAACCCCGCAAATATTTTACACTAATTGATTTTAGTGCCAACAGTAATATTTGAATAAAACGCCAAATTTTCAATGAAATATAAATATTTATTAAAAATAAACACAAACTAGTAATTTTTAGCAAAAAAAAAAAACCGACTTCAACTCTCATATAAAAAAAAATATATATATCTCATGATCCACTGATCGGATCTTAACCAGATATGGTATGGGACCACCTCTGAGATACTACCTTTCCGATGCAAAAAGAATTATCGAAATCGGTTGACGTGGTCCAAAGTTATGCGGTAACATACAAAAAAAAAAAAAAAAAAAGATTCCGACGAACTGATAACCTCCTCCTTTTTTGGAAGTCGGTTAAAAACTAAAAAAGTTCTTTCAAAACAGTTTTGTACATTTATCATATTCTGTAAAGTTTACAGTGTAAATATATCAATTTATAACAAAAACAAAAAATTAATTCAGTTCTTTTTTTTCATTTTTACATATTAAAACTATTTAAATTTAAATGTATATGCATATATATTTTATTTAAATATGTGATAATATTGATTTAAAAAATTGTTTGTCAGTCTCACATTCGAGGTAAGGTACCATTTCAGTTAGGTCTTTAATTTTATTTCTGTCCAATTTCGGCTTACATAAAACAAGCAGTGTTTGCTGAAATAAATTGTTTGGGGTTACGTTTACGAAACGCCCACGGGAATGTTTTTTAATACATGGAGAATTAATATCAATTTCCTCGTGACTCGCTTTATATCCAATATTCCATAAATTATTTTTGTTGTACTCTAAATATTTTACTTTCGAAAAAGCCCAAGGTTAAAGTTCAAAAGTCCAGCTTTTTGTGAATAGTTTTTGAAATCGTCAGGAGCCATTTGAAGAATTTTCAAATGGGTTTTGGGATATTTTAAATTTTTTAAAATTTGTACTAATGCTATTGGGCTAGGAATTTGTATCTTTCTCAAGGTTTTATCTATAGTGCTATGCACACAGTCAACTTCCTGAATACAAGAATGCCCAGGTTCTGAAAATTTTTGTGTAATACTGGTAATGGAAGATTTATTCAAAAAAAACAATATTGCAGTAGATGTTATTTGATTTCGGTTTTGAGGAATACAAGAGTCACTCCATAAGATAATTTTTTTTATTTCTGGGTGATCTATCTCTACGCCGTCCAAAATCTTTATCAAAGCACTTGCGATGGCATTTCCTCCTCTTCCACCACAAGTCTCGTCCCATAAAGCGCAATAGGTTTCTTTAACACCATTTGCTTTAATTAATGTTCCGGTTAAATTAAATACACAAAGTTTTCGCCGATAATAAAAATTTGAAGCAAAACATTTAGGCAAAGTGATTATGTTTTCGAGATCATAACAGAGAATAGCTAGCGATGGATCAATATTTTGACGATCCTTCTCTCTTTCTGCTTTGCAGAATTGTTTTTCCTTTACATGTTTACAATATTGTAGCTTCTTATCTTGTGAACATTCTTTTTCATTGACTTTGTACCAAACACAGCGGTCACATTGATCTTTTTTTGGACTATAAAATGATAAATTAAATGAGTAGTTGAAAACATTTCTATAAACGTTTAGAGATACATTATGTTCATTGTGTTTTTCTCTATACAAATCGTACATTTTTTTTACACTTAAGTGACTTTCTAAGTATTTACGAGAAGTTGACGAACGACAATAGTGTGAATTAATAGTTGGGAAACTAAGTATATGCTCCTTTATTTCTTGGATTTTATTAGGACTGGTTTTCGGCCTACCATGATTTTTTCTGGTTTGTGAAGGAACTCCCTGCTCATCGGTAGAGACGTTAAACAAATAATAAATCCTTCTTTCGGATATGTCAAGGGTACTGAGAAAAAATTTTTTACAAACTTGTAAAGTCGTATCGTTATTTCTAAAATAGTAATAAAATGATCTCTTTTTACGGAGTGTGAAAGTATTCTCAGCGGATTTTCGGCGGCGTTTAACATCAGATGGTTTGACAAATGAAAATAAAAAAGATTTCTTTTCCTCATTATTTAAGTTCCAAAATTTGTGAAGGAGTTCGGTGCGGTCATTCCCTGTAAAATTTGAATTGCACTGGTATAGGCACTTATCTGCACATGGCGAACCCAGCTTTCTTCCACCTCTTTGTTTTCCCTTCCTATCTGTATAAGGTTTTCCACTTTCCCGCAGCCTTGTCCTTATATTTTGTTTCCATAAGCACGGATTCCTTTGACGTTTTCTCGAGGTTGTTGGATTCTCAGTACAGGCTGGAAATTATTTTAGTAGTTATACTCCACGTTTTCACTAACAATAAAAACTTACACGAATTATGGTCTGAAGGTAGTGCTCGTAAAATGTTCCTTGACGTGCTGGGTGACCCATTCATGTCCAGAATGTCCATGGCACTTTCGTAAAATTTTTTAAGTTCGCCGGGCTCCACGTTCTCCTCTTCAGAGTCATTCAATATTTCATCCATAACACTAAAGTGTTCAAAAATTATATTAGAAAACAGTTTTTATAAACAAAACAAAAGTTTTTATAGTATTTACCCTTTCAAGGTTACGTATAAACTTGGCGCAGGCGATGAATCTCCCATCTTGCTCTCACAACGACAACCAGCTGACTGAAGAAATTTCATGCATTGCAGTGCTTAAGCTATGCACACATGCAACAATTGTTTACAGTTTTCCTGCATACAATTGTCGTAAGTTCGGTATTTCGTGACACATACCACAAAGGTTTTCTGACAAAAAAAAAAGTAGATTTGTATGGGCGTTTGTTGTATGTGACATATTTTCAACACATACAACAAAAAGCACACCCAGATGTTGATATTCCGCAACATACGACAAAATGCACTCGATATATCTGAAAACTAAGGGAGATATAAAAAAATGGATTGAAGAAATCAAAAGAGC